GGGAGATTATTCTGGGCTAGTCAGATGGCTTCAGTATTCATTATAACAGTCTTTCTGGGGAAAAATGGAGGATCAGAGGAGAAACATGGTAACAGAGGCAAGGTTGGAGTGATAGAACCACATGCAGGGGATGCAGACAGCCTTCATGACCATAAAAAACCAAGTAACACAGTCCCTTCATTCTCTACTCCTGACCAATGTCTGGTTTCAGGCTTCTGGCATCTGGAACCAGGAGAAACTGAAGCTATGATGTGTATGCCACTCCTAAGTTCATGGGAATTCATTATAGCTGCTAAACAAATCAGCCACACCTAATACAATCTGCAGGATGTTTGAGTTCAAACAAGGATCTCCTGAAGCCAACCACAAACCATAAGCTTAGGGACATCTGAGTAACAGGCATGGGGTTCTCCTAAAAGCCTCTAAAAGCCTCCTCATCCCATTTTATATAACAGATATATGTCCTGTGTCCACTCTCATAAATAGCCATGGTCCCAACCACAGCAAAATAAAAACCAACCACCTTGCTGTTTCTTGTAACAGGTCCCATTCCAGATGGAACCTGAGCCCTTTCCCAGGGGAGTCCTTCTCCCTTGCATGACCTGTGTAATGAGCTTTACTTTAAATCTCTGAGTTCATAGTGCAGTATTGGTCTAACAGGCACAGGGTTCTGACATGAGGCTGCCCAGCATTTGGCAGAGAATGGTTAGTGCCTATATTTGTTGAGGCTGCCATGTCTAGCTGCCATAGACTTGTTGCTTCAAACAATGTATTGATTTCTGAATGTTGGAAGTCCAGCAAGAGGAAGCACTGTTGGGGTCCAGTGATCTCCCTCTTCCTGTGAATAGCTGCCATCTCACCATCTCACATCCCCTCTGGGAACTGTGACATCTCTTCCTCATCTTGTTAGGATACAAGCCCTGTAGGATTAAAACCTTTAGCATTTTGTTTAGATTGAGTTAGTCCCTTAAAGGCCCTACTATCAAATAGTCATGCTGAGGTTGAGGGTTCAACTTAAGAATCAGAAGGAGGGACATAATTCAGTCCATAGCAATATGCCAATAAAATAACATATTGTGCTCAATTGTCTTAAGGTCATAAAATAGCTGCTACAGATCCAGACATCCCAAACCACAAACCAGCCTCCCATGTTGAAAGAAGAGGCAGCACATATAAATCATGAGTGGTTTTCGGTTTTGTTTTTAACATTTTCTAAAGAAAAAATTGTGCCACTTTCCTAAGATTCCCCCGCTTCAACACTCATGTCATGAGCTGGGAATGCAAGATCTCAGCTTTTAATCTATGTATTCACATTTTTTGATATATTCTATGAGTGACATAGTTAGACATGTTTTGCTTGCATGTATATAAGTGTACCACAGTGTGCCTAGTGGCCATGGAGGTCAGAAGAAGGCAGAAGAAGGCATTGGATCTTCGGAGACTGAAGTTACTGATAGTTATAAACAGCCAGGTAGGCACCGGGACCCATACCCACATCCTTTTCTAGAAGAAGTGATTAATAGTAATTATGTATTGGGGATTTAATGGGTGGCTTTCTTCTCCAAGGATGCTCTGTCATTTACATAATCTGACTGTCTCAGTAATTATAAGAGGTATGCATTATTTTCTCCACTCCTCTGTTCTGCTTTGTTTTGTTGAAGCAGGGATTTTTTGTGTAGCCCTGGCTGTCTGAAAACTCACTCTGTAGACCAGGCTGGCATCAAAATCAGAGACCTACCTCCCTTGAGCTAGGATTAGACGTCTGTCCCACCACTACACATACACCCAGCTATAGCTCCACTTCTCTAACTGAGAAATAGTGGCCCAGAGAGCCTGATTGACTTGCCCACGATCATATTGGCAATATAGGGTAAATACATGGAAATCAGATTTGAACTTGGGCCAACTCCTGCCCTCGCTCTTACCCTTACCCTTCAGTACTACCTTACACATCTGATTTGGTGGGTCCAGCTACAGTCTGTGGATATTTATAGGCAACTGGTGTGCACATGCTTCCTTTGGGCAGGGAAGGAGTAGTAACAGACTAAATAGCCCCGACATCTGATCTGTGCCTTCTAGAAGCTCTACGAGGGCAGAAACAGATCCCTTGCTTTGGCCCGTTTTTTAGCTTGGTGAAGGGCTTCTTGTCCACCCAATGTCTGTCTTTAAGAGAACATAGTGTCTGCTGCTAGCATCCCTCTGACCCTCTCTCTCTATCATCAACCAGGAGTGATGATACCCACCAGTAGCCTCCATCACTCATGACCAGGCGATCTTGAGACAGCTGGCCACAGCCCAGGTAAGACTTTCATTTACCCCTGCTAGCGTGGCAAGCACTAAGAAGTGGCTACCAGGTCCAGTCCAGTTGGCCTTATGAAGCTCTCAAGTCATTCCATTCTAAAACTGTCAATATGCCTGCACAGCCAAACTTCCAGCACTAAGTCTGCCTCTTGGGGAGGAAGGTGATTAATGTTTAGGGATCTGACAATGCTATGTTCACTGGACAGTACAGTCAGGAATGGTTAAAGAGTTAACTTGTGGCTAATGTAAAACATTAACACTGTAATACCATTTGATTATCTTGTAACTGTGTTACTGTTAATCTGTGGATTTTATTTCTTGAAAACTTTTTGATTTGAAAGCATGTCTGCCTGGTGCCCAGAGACGAAGAATTCATAAGCTATGTCTTCCTTCTCCAGAAGAATCTATTCGAGACTAAAGCAGGGGTCCCAACCCCAGCTCAGGAGCTTCAGAGAGCCCTGTTACATTAGCATTGTATTCCCATGGTAGGATGGGATAAAGGGTGTATGTTTCCTTGTGAGCCCCTAATCAAAAACCTTCAATAAAGTCTAGTCCTGAAAAAGCAAACACTAAACAGAGCCACTCTATGAAGTCCCTAGCCAGTACTCTTCCTAAGAGTCAAAGTCTCAGAATACAAAAGGATTCGAGAGACTGGGCTGTTACAGATCAAAGGACTCTGAGGAGTTGGGATAATGAAACATTATCATAGTCTAGACAGGCTCCAGAGCACAGGGAGGACCCCAGCAGGAATCTGGCTGGGCCGGTACCACCTGTACTTGGGTTACTAACACTGTACTGAAGTGAATGACCATCTAATGAATCAAGGCAGCCAGGCCATGTGAGATGTTGCCATTGGAGAAGGCGAAGGTGGTGGGTTGCTGGAAATCTAAAATTATTTCAGAATAAAAAAATTAACAAATTTGGGGAAGCACTTGGCCTGTGTTCACATCAATTTACTCAGAATCTCAGGTGCATGAGGCTCTCAGGAGGTTCTGCTATGCAGGAAGCACTGAGAGTCAGCGAGGTGGAACCAGAGAAGTAAGCATGCATCAGAATACCCTGGAAGAATTATTAAAGCAACTGGTTGCCTCAGGCCACGGTTTGGTTCAGTGAGTCTGGATGGGGTCCTGAGAGTCTATATGTCTAACAAGTTCCCAGGTAATGGACAGGTGGCTGTCCTGGGCACACCCCCCCAAAACCACTACTCTGAATTTTTGCAATGCAATGTGGTCCTTGGTTAAGGTAAGATTACAATTCCATGGTGGCTGATTACTAGGGAAGTATCTTGGGCCCCACCCAGGCTCACACAGGCAAAATTCAAGATTTAATAGGACCCCAAGTGGCTGGTTTACACAGGAAAATCTATAGAAAGATCACGCATGGTGCAGGGATGAGGAGCAGAGAGGAACTGGAAAAGAAGAGCTCAGAGGTGGGGGGCAGAACACCCACCACTGTGCTGGTCTCAGCGGCCTGATCCTTCCCCAGGAGAGAGGAAAATGGGAAAAAATATCAGAGCTCTGCACACAGAAACAGACAGAGCTGGAGGGAAATGCTTGTGATCCCTGCAGCCTTGGCCTGTGACAGCAACTGAGCACAGAGGGGAGGCAGGCTGGTGCTGGGCTGCCATAGCATCTCTAGGAGCAGCCAGGCCTGACTAGAAGGCAGTGACCCTGGAAAACAGTGGCAGCCCAAGGCTCCCCCTGCCTCTTCTCAAGACTGAGCACTGCTTCCATCAGCTAAAGACAGCCTGAGCCCTAGAGTGGGGCAGAGAGGAAGGAGGCAGGAATGGAACAGAAGGAAAAGGAAAGGAAGAAAATGTGAGGAGAGGGCAGCAGAGGCAGTGAGTTGCCAAACATGGCTGCAGGGGCCTCCCTCAGTTCACTAAGCAGGAAGAGTAGCACCTGGTCATCTGGTGTTCAAGCTCTCCTGTTAAATATGGACCCTCCCATATGGCCAATGTGGCCAATTCGGCCCATGTCCTCACTGTTAGGAATGCATCACACTCTGGTTTTATTCATTCTGCTGGTTCTGAACTTGCAGGTCACATCTTGGTTCGAGCCCCATCTCTTGTTCCAGACGCAGTTGCCACTCTCATCACCCTTCCCACAGGTGCCCACACTAAGAGCTGCCACAAGTCTCCCATCAGCTCCCCTACTCAGAATCTGTTTGAGGGCCTCTTAGAGCAGCTCTGTCTTTCTAGGGTATCCCTGTGCAGTAGCAAGAAGGCCCCAATAGCCTGCAGTGGCTGGCCAGCTTGGATCTTGCTATAGAAAAGATACACTGTGGATATTAACCTGGCCATCCTTGAAGCACCTCCTGTGAGCCAGTAGATGCATATGCAGCTTCTCAAAATGAGTTCAAACTCCCCAAAAACCACAAAGTCTCCCAAGACTCTCAATATGTGTATGCTTACAGAGCACCACTCAAAGGCCAGGGTGTCGTGTACTGGGTACGTATGGGCACTCTGCTCAAGCACACAAGACAACTCAAGGAGCACGCACAGTCTGTCTACAGTACTGTGGGAAGCCACTCATAGGTATCATCCTACTCCTAGATTTTTAAACTTCCTTGTACTTCCAAATCTGTTTTTACCTTTCCTATGCCTGGAAACTGTTATAGGTATCAGGCCTAGAGGCAACATGCTGATGTTTTAAATCCCAGAGCAAGCCAACCATTACACCCAAAGTGAAAAGAGACCATTATCTTATACAGAAAGGACATTTATATTTATGTCAGTGGCTGTAAAAAACACCATAAAATAGAATATGCAGCATGTATCCTTGTGATTAATAACAGAGCTCGTGAATTACTCTCCTAGGTCCCTGGGTACATCCAACTGGTCACCAAGAACAATTACTTCTTTCAGAAAATAAAAGAATGCAAATAGTCTCTGCTCACTAGAAAATCTGCTTCTATCATTAACAGAGAGAAAGGAAATGAGGTTCAGATTTTCTGATCAAATAGTTATCCAACTGCAAGCATGGATGATCATGGAAGTAGGGTCTTCCATATGTGGGTCTCAGGGACCCCCAGACCCTCCAGACACACAGGAGCAAACGATGGGCTTGGGAGATATGAATGCTGGTGGGGAAACAGACTAGAGACAAAATTTGATGAGGTGACATGGATGTGTCAGAATGGGTACAGCCATGGTGACTGTGGTCTCATCAGGAAGACTGGTGTCTCTAAAGACCTGGAAGGACCTAGTACAATCCTAGACCTGAGACTCAGGTCACTGACTGAGAACCAGAGGGCAAGTTCTGACCTGGCCGCTTGAGTGAGACAGGTACCCCAGTCATAGGAAACAAGTAGGGACCCAGCTCTGCCTGTAGTTCCAAGCTTTGGGCGCCAACCAAGGTCTATGATGTAGAAGGCAGGAGACATCTCCAAGAAGCAGGATGTGGCCCTGTGGCAACAGGAGTCTTATAGCCTACATGGCTTCGAGAGGCAAGGTCTCTGGGTACATGGTGTTTAAGTGTACTGTGGCAACCTTGAGGATTTGATCCCAACCTAGCAAATAAATTCTATAACTAAACCAAACTTCGATCTCCTAGTCCTCTTTGAGAAACCTAGGGGTTTCCCAAGGGAGCAGCTAGCAAGAGCAACTGAAAGTCTAAATGGAGCCATAGAGTCAGAAGGAACAGTCCCTGAAACCTTGAAAAGGTTTATTACGATAAACAATATATATAACACTGAAGGTGCCACCATGACAGCATGAACCTACAGCTGTATTGTTCACTCTCAGATGGAACCTTCCTCACTGAGGTGGGACACCTTTGGGAGTGATATGGCAAAAATATGAAGTGTGTTCTCAGCAAGTTCTGAGACCCCACTTATTAACTACAAGTTAAACATGCCCCTGTGGCACATGTGGTTGGTCCATTCTGACAATCCTCATAAAACTAGGGATGACCAAGCCAATGGCACATACAGGAGACAAGAGGGAGGTTGCTTTATCCCCACCCTAGAGGAAAGAAACTCACTCTTCAGTACATTCTAGGACCCCAAGACAAGGCCACCAAAAGGCAGGGGCTCCTGTGGCAGAGCTGGATGGTGCCATGGGTGACCACCCTGGGACCACAGGCCAACCCTAGGCAGACATGGGTTAGTGGGTAGTCCCAGCGTGAAGGAAAGAATGAGGTGTGGAAAGACACTAGGAAGGGGCAGGGAATGGCAGTCACATTCAGTGTGGAGCCCGAGTCAGCCAGCGTAGGAGAGCTGAGACCCAGCAAGCTAGCCTCAAGGCCTTCACTCGAAGCAGAAGTTCATGAAGGTTGATCTGCCAGAGGCTAAAGGCCTCACTGAAAGATATCTGGGTCCTTCTGAAGAATGAGCCAGCATCCCTCTTCCTGTGCCTAGAGGAGGGGTGAGAAAGAAGGAGGGGAAAAAAGAAACAAGTGAGAATCCCCAGCTCAGAACCATGGAGAAAAATCAAAGATGGCAGGTGGCAAGGCCAACTCGCGAGCTCCCTGATCCCGGAGACCACTTGGTTACCCAACCACACCACTGCCCAATCAAGGGCCAGAGGGACTCAAATATCCCAAAGAAGATTTTCAAAGCAGTAAAATAATAATGCATCAGGCTCTGATCCCCACACCCGGTAGAGCATTTTGTGGTTTCTCTTTCCACTGCAAAAATGTTCCTGAGGATACAAATCCTCTGAGGTCAGGTGACTGGGGAGGCTGAGCACTTTGTCAACCCAGCTCAGTCTCTCTGTACCTAAAACAAGACATGGTACAAACTGGGATTCATGATAATGGCCTCTTGTTAGGTTTGGGGCCAGGAGCTAATCAAGCCACAGAAGTTTCTCTCTCTCTACCATACACAGCTACTGAAAAAGAAATGACAAGCCGCCTATTGTGAATCTGCAGCCACCTAATAGACTCCCAGATATCTGGATCTCAGGAGATTTGCAGAATCCAGAATTCTCATTTCCCCAAGGAAGTCTATAAACCCAGGTTACCAGTTTCCAAGACATCCTCAATTCAATGAATCCCTCTTCCCTCACATCCTCATGGTCACACATCCTTTCAGGAAATGTGGCCCTCCCAACCCAAACCCCTGTGGCCTGATAATCAGGGACAACCTAGATAGGTCCCAGCTGTGGAGTACTGGTCAACCATATGGTGTAAGGCCTCCCTCTTCCTCTTAAACCTGTAGGAAAGGCCTCCAAGTGTGCAACACAGACCTGAACTCTCCTTAGAGCCCCTGCCATGCTCCTGCTGACCTGTTTATCTGTCTATGGGGGTAATAACTTTTCAAAAGAATCTCTTACCCCAAAAAGTAATCTATATCTAAGACCCACTGAGTCCTAAACCCAAGACCTTTTACTATTTAAGACTTGCCTTCCTCAGCCCTCAAGAAAAGATAAATCACACTCTGCCCTTTATTGGTCAGAGGTTTTTGCTGGAATCCAATCTCATATTTGCTAGTAAATACATGATCTATGTGGCCAAATCTGTTAGCTTCCTAGAATGAGCTATTCCTTCCCCAGGACAGACAGGCTGGGATGTGACCACAAGCTAGGCCTCCTCTCTGGGGTAAGAACATTCTGCTAGAGCATAGCCTTTCTCATGTATTCACTGTACTCAACTGGATGCCTAGAGATTGATCCTTTACACTCTTGCTGAAGAAGTATGGTTCTCGTTATCATATTTGCCTCAAGAGTACTAAGGCATCTAGAAAGATCTGTGACCCTGAGATAGCCTAGTAGCCACACCTTCCCAAGTCACAGCCACATCTCCAGGATAAGAAGCAATGGGTTCACTGCCTAGGCTGGTCCTAGGAGCCAAGGACAGGGTCAGTAAGAAAGAGGGTCTTACTGGGGCTTCCTGATCACAAGTCTAGGGGACAGCTGGATAGGCTGAGATACTCAGATATCAACTTCAAACTTTCTCAGGGGAAAGAATCATCTGGAAAGCTGGACTTGGCAAATGAGTCCCAGATGCTATCATCTGGCAAAGCATGGGCATTCTAGGCCACCCAAAGACACTGTCTCAAGGCATCTGCTGTTACTGCAACTCATTTTGCCCCTAAGATTCCCTGAAGAGAGATCTAGAGCTGGAGAAGCCAAGATGGGGTCCTAAAGATTGAACGGTAGGGAAAGCAGAGCCTATGGGATAGTCCCTGGAACTGCATACTCACTCAGCCAGTGCCCTGATACAACACCGAGACATGTTGAGGAAGGAGCTGGCGCTGGAGCGCGTGCCCAGGGTGGTCTCAATGCTGCGGAGGAGATCATTGGTCTTCAGGATGAGCAGCATCTGGCGAGGCACATGGTTAAGGAGCTGGCTGATCTCAGGCAGGTAGCAGGCCGCATTATTGCGAATCTCTGAGTCCTAACAGCAGCAAGGGGACATGAGAATGGTTGATATAGCACATGAAGATCAGGGTGCCAGGAGTGTGGGTAGCCTGTGACCAAGAGGAAACAAATATATGCTCCAGGTAGGAGCTTTTAGCACAGCTGCCTTGGCACCCTGTAGAGAACCCAGCACCCCAAAGAAAAGAAAAGCACTGGGGCCCTGGGGCCTGACCACTCAGATGGGAGGTCCCAGTGTAGCTCTCAGGCAAGCCCTGGAAACAGCACTAGTGTACACTAAGAAAAGTCAAAGGGCGCTCCAGGGCTTCTTTATTGGACATCAACTTCAAGCCAGGCCTGGAAGAAGCACTACCAGCTAACTAAACCCAGCCCAGTACAGTCCATGGACAGAACACCTAGGTCCCAGCCAAGCCTTGTACCACATCAGATCTACTACCCCCTGTGGTCTACTACTGCCTGGGTCCTGATGGTGGGTGTGTGTCCAATAGCCAGCCCCCCCTCTCCTATGTTAAAGCCATGTCAATTCTGTTTATCTGCCCTTTGGGTCATGTTCTTCAGGCTATTTGATAGCCCCAGGCTACTGGTATCCTGTTCATTCTCAGCCAGCAGTGGTTCTGAGCATTTATTCCCTTCCTTGGTGACTGGCTCACTGCACCTCAGTCAACAGAAACCCCTTAAACCAACAGGTCTTGGAATCTCTTGCTCATTAGCTTGCCAAGGGCTTCACTTCCTCCCGGTAGCTGAGTCTACACCTCTTTCCACAGCACATAAAGCCCTGTGTGGGGTTCAATGAGTCTCATCACCCTCTAGGCCACACCAAATTCTTTTGCCCTGGGCATTAGTGGGGTTAGTGTGCCAACAGTGGATCATCAGGCGCTCCTGACAGTGGTGTTTTCCGGGTCCTTCACACCTCAGCTCAAATGTCAACCAGTACCCCAGATCTCTATACCAGGCAGCCTCCCAACCCCTTCCTCTCATCATCTTATTTGACTTCCCCTCAGACCCTCCCCTCCCCAGAGGTATCTGTAACCTGCAATTATCCCACTTACCTGTTGGCTCAATTGTTTACTGTCTGTCTCTCTCAACCAAAGTGTAAATTACACAAAAGGCCTGTCTTGTCTGTTGGACACAGGATCCTTGAAACATGCTCAGGGGCCAGCTAAAGCAAATGTTTATTGAATGAATGAACTACGGGAACTGTGAGTAGGCACTTTGCATGCACTGACTGTAAGACAGAAAGCATAGCTCCTATCATCCCTAGACTGCCCCTCTTCTAGGATGCACTTTAAGGCTGTAGAGCCCGGAACAGCAAGTGTTCATCGCTGTCACTAGGCCTTCTGGAGAACTATGTCCACTGAAGGAAAACAGAGCCAATAACTGGTGAGAGATAGGTTCTTTCTTTTTCTTTTTTTTTTATTTTTGTTTTTTTTTTTCGAGACAGGGTTTCTCTGTGTAGTCCTGGCTGTCCTGGAACTCACTCTGTAGACCAGGCTGGCTTCGAACTCAGAAATCCTCCTGCCTCTGCCTCCCAAGTGCTGGGATTAAAGGCGTGCGCCACCACTGCCCGGCGAGAGATAGGTTCTTTAAGACATTAAGACTCTGGATCCAGTCTTTGCTAGAAGTACCTGTGGTAAAGCAGCTTGCAGAGAATGACCCTGAGGTCCTTGGGTGATACAAACACTCAAGGCCACAGAACCAGAAAGACAGGGTCCTGGAAGCAGCACCCAGGCTTTCCAACATCATGAGTAGGACCTCATCTCTAACTCCAGTGAGCAGAGGCCTGAGTGGGGCCTGAGTCTGCCCAGCATTGAGAAACAAATAAATAAACTCCCATGATCCTTGGCAGACAGACATGGACAGGAATATGGGGAGGAGCAGTTCCCTAAAGTCTGTATCCAGTCTAGACAGTAAAAGTCCATGAATGAAGTAGGAAAAGTAAAGATGCTCCTTCACTTGGATAGGGCTGTTTGCATATGGAGAGGATGTGAAGGCTCTCCCTGTCATGAAGCCAGAGAGGACCCAGACAAAGTGAACTGTGCTCAGTGGGCAGAGGAAGTGCAGGGGCTATAGGAGTATGACAGCCTCTGGGAGGTGCTGGAGGAAGCCTGGCATCTCACCAGACTATTGGGGTCTGGGATTTTCTGGGATTTTTAAGCCCACAGCCTTATCTCTACTCCAGGATGGTAAGGTCCCAGGACATAGATAGGCTATCCTTCCCCTGCCTTCCTCACCCCAGTGCCATAGTTTCTGCTCTCCTCCCTACTGCTCACCCTAGATGGCTCTAATACAGAGACACATGGCCCACCAATCATGAACCTTAGACATTGGGTTGGAAGAAGTCAGCAGGCATCTGGGAGAGGGTCACCTACCTCAGTGGCAGAGACTGGAGCTTGCCCAATGCCCCGTTTGACTGAGTCCCAGGACCGGGCTGTCAGCATACAGGCAAACAGTGGATAGAGGTCTGCAGCTCCCAGTCGCTGGCTGTACTGTTTCACCCTGTCCATGTCGGTCCAGATCAGAGACTGCCACAGATGGCAGTAGTCCAGGCGGAACTCCTCCGTCAGCACCTGTAGCCATGAGCAACACAGATAGCAACCGGGTCTCTCTTGGACCAAGGCCTGAGCCCCAGGCTAGTGCTGACCACTACATGGGAGATAAGAAGCTCATAGTTTCCCAACAGTCAGCCATGACAAGGGCCCAAGTTCAAAGTTAAGAGAGCTTGAGTATCATAAATCTGAAATTTCTGGGACCAGAAATGCTCTAGATTTCAGTCTCTTTTTCTCAGATTTGCATATACATAATATCTTGGGGCTGGATCACACATCTAAGCATAAAATCCATTTGTTTCATACATGCTTTACACACGTGGCCCAAAGGTAGTTTTATACAAATGTATTTAGCGATTTTGTGCATGAAACAAAGTTATGTGGCACAGAATTTTATGTGGTGCCATAATGCTCAGAAGCTTCAAGTGCCGGGAGTGTAGAGGTTTTGAACTAGGGTTACTCAGCCTGAACTGGCAAACCTTGGTCCTAACTGGCAAAGACTGCTAACTCCCCTCCAAAATCTATATTGTCACCTCCTTTTTAGGTATAGGATACTTCACTAGCCTCCATCAAACACAGATGCAGTCCTCTACCTCAACAGTGACTGATGGGGTAGAACAAAATCCCCACCTCCTGCAAAGCTCTCCCACAGGTCTCCGGGCCTCCCCTCTGCTATCACTGCCTTTGAGTCCAAGAGAGAAGAAGCCTCTGGACTTCATCTACCATACCCAGGTGTGATGGTTTGTATATGCTCAGCCCAAGTAGTGGTACTTTTAGTAGGTGTGGTCTTGTTGGAGTAGGTATGTCACTGAGGGTGTGGGCTTTAAGACCCTCATCCCAGCTGCCCAGAATTGAATATTCTGCTAACAGTCTTCAGATAAAGATGTAGAACTCTCAGCTCCTCCTGCACCATGCCTGCCTGGATGCTGCCATGTTCCTGCCTTGATGATAATGAACTGAACCTCTGAACCTGTAAGCCAGCCCCAATTAAATGTCGTCCTTATAAGAGTTGCCTTGGTCATGGTGTCTGCTCACAGCAATCAAACCCTGACTAAGACACCAAGCCAGTGTGAGCAAGGTGACCTTCCCCTGCTATCTCAGCCATCTGCCTCCAAGCTGCAGGCTTTCTGGAGGACATCAGTGGGCTCCAACCGAGGAAGGAGGAAAATTTTCTCCTACCTGGTAAAGCCCATGGTCCAAAAGGACAATCTCAGCCTTGCCCGTGTCAGGACGCTTCCGCACCAGCACATTGCCTGGGTGGGGGTCACAGTGCACGAAGCCATTGACAAAGATCATCTCACTGTACATCTTGCCCAGGTGGCAGGAGATCTGAAAGAGAAGTGACCCGGTGGGAGTTCTGCCCTGCCCACACGTGCTCCAGAAGCTTTTCTCATACCTGTAATCTAGTCACGCTCAAGAGATGACAGGAGCCATCGGGCCTGAGCATAGGAGAGGATGGAGTCCTCACATCCAAGAGAGAAGCTCAGCTCTAATCCAAGCACATATCAGAACCCCTTGGAGCTCAGACATGTTGGGACAGCCCTAGCCATGAGTGTCTTCTGAGTTCTCAGGGTGATTTCCTGCACACAAGGGAGAAGATTGGCTGTGTCTCCATTTCCTGATGGCTGTCAGTCAGTCTTCACCTCCCTCACTGCCCTGCCCACATCTGTCTCCTCTCTGCTCTTTTATCAGCCCCTCTTCACTCTTTCCCAAAGGTGAGAGAGTGGGTGATGGGAACAATCCCACCCACTCCTTCGAAGAACAGGGCCAGGTTAGGAACAGGTGATGAACACAATGTCTCTCCTCTGGAACTGCCCTGCTGCCAAGCCAGTCTTAGACAGACCCAGAGTCCAGTACCTGCTCCCCTCTCCCCACTCCCCAGAGCCCAATGCTAATCTGATTTATGATGTCTGTGCAGAAGAAAGACACTGGAGAGGCCATTTAAATCATCCTGTCAGTCCTTCGAGCCCTGCCAAGGCAGCCTTCTTATCTCTACTCTGTTTTATTAAAGCTAAAAGCCTCTTCCTTGCTTGGGAGCAGCTGCTGAATAGAACCAGACCTGGGCCCCCAGATAATCTGTCGATGGACATGCAAGGGATAAAGATATGTTCAACCACAAGGTAGATGCCCCAGGACACCAACTGTCCTTGTGTTTCTTCTAGCCTCAGTTGAACCTTGTGGTCATTAACAAATGAACAAGAGTGAGGAGGAAGGAGCCAGGGCTCATGGTGAGGGGGCTTCAAGATTAACAGTCTTCCTCAGTCCATAAGTCTTATGACATAAGATCTCTCCTCTCTCCCTGTTCTTTCCCAATCTCTCTCTCTCTCTCTCTCTCTCTCTCTCTCTCTCTCTCTCTCTGTATGTGTGTATATGTGTGTGTGTATATATGTGTTTGTGTGTGTGTATATGTGTGTGTGTGTTCCAACAATCCCTGTGCCTTCCTACCTCAGGCTTTTTGTTGCAAACCATTCCTGCTGCCACAAGCCTTCCCACCATCACCCCATCTCCAGGTCCACACCCCCTTCCATCCTATCCAGGGTGGGAAAAGTACTCTTGACACACATACACACACACACACACACACACACTCCTAGAAGGTACTTTTTTTTTTTTGTCTTTTACAGCACTAGCAATTACTAGCGTGATTATTTGACAAATGACCATCTGGTTCACTATCATAAACTCCTAGGACAGCAGGGACTGGCTCTGTTTTATTAAATGGCTTTATTGAGGTGTAATTGATGTGCTATAGACTGGCTCTGTTATGCATGCATTCACTTGTAAAAGCTCCACACAGCCCTGGATCCCTCCATAAGTGCTCCCAGGCTGGTGGTTAGGACCCTGGGAGCTGTGGTTGGTTGGTATTGTTGCTCTCCTCATGGTGCCACAAACCCTTTCAGCTCCTTCAGTCCTCACTCTAACTCCTCCACACAGGTGGAAGATGAGATCCTTGACCTCATGAAGGCTGGACGCCCCAGGGGGTGGGAATTTTGAGGGTGGGAAAGTGGGAGTAGGGGGGGGTAGGTGGGGGTTACATCCACAGAGAAGAAGGAGGAGGGGTAAGGGGATGGGGGGTTCCCTGGTGGGTGGGGGATGGGGTAAGGGGATAACATATGAAATGTAAATAAAACATCCAATAAAAAAAAAAGAATTATGGAAGGGTTATAGATCACATGTCATGCATCATGTAGCATAGCACGTACTATAAACTCTATGGCACTCACTGAGATGATCATGGACCATCATCTAGGATAAAACTTCCTTTTTCTGTTTTCTTTAAACTGCTAAGGCTAGGGAGTCACACTTTAAAGTCTCCAAATGAGCTGCATATAAATGAATCCCTTTAAAAGATTGCTTTCAATCTCTTCTAAAATCATAGTTACTTGTAAATATTTTCTTTACTCCTATTGTAGTTAATGAAAATGCAAAATTCCCAGACCTTCTGAAGCAATATATTCGATTCTGAACACACAATTTTTCATTCATTTTTATCGTAAACATTAATTTTTGGATTCTAATTGTAATATCTTATATCCACTTTTGCTTGAGTATTTTACCCTAGAAATTGAATTTCTATTTAACAATTGCTAAAAACAAATTTCAAAATGTCCATTTTCGGTAAAGCATTTTATTTACATAAAGATACAAGGAGGTTGCAGCTTGTCAAACATGTTAGCTACTGTTAATAACCTATTGATTCCATATAGAGTCATTTTAACTATGTTAAACACATTACTTGCTTAATCTCCTATATTGAGACATAACATTTAAGATTATAATCCCAGTGTATTGGTCTCAAAAAGTATGAATGTTGTATGTGGCCATTAACGATGGGACAAAGAACAGATCTCTGAAATGCACTCACATCCATGTTCAGGGTCCATAGAAGATTCTGTATTAATCAATAATCCTTTTGAACACTAATTGTTAACTTTATCTTTCTGAAATAAATGAATTTTCCCTTATAAAAAAAAAAAAGAAATACACAATAATGAACAATATTATAAAATGTCATGGTCTTCT